GAGGAGGAGGACGAGCAGGACGAGGAGGAGGACGAGCAGGACGAGCAGGACGAGCAGGACGAGGACGAGGATGAGGAGGAGCGGGAGGAGCGGGAGGAGCGGGAGGAGGACGAGGAGGACGAAGGGGTCGAAGAAGATGGTCGGGCAACACTCCGAGGAGAGGAACCACAAGCAGAGATCGACAAAGACGTCCACGATGAACGGGAAGACGGCGAGGATAACACCTTGCAAAGTGACACGGGTGCGCGTGGGCGGGCATGGCGGCGCGAGCACGCCGCACGACGAGAAGAAACAGAGTCTACTCCCCGCCAGACCCACGAGAGTGACAACGGTGACGACGAGGACGACAACATCGGAAGCGACAATTGCGGCGACGACAGTAGCGATGACAACGGTAATGAGCATACCGAGAACGACACTCGCAAAGCCCGGGGTAGTGTAAAAGACATTCAGTGCCAGCCCTCCAAAACTCCACCTGGCGCGTATGCCGAACAACGTCAAGATGACGCCGAACCTGGAGGGCACAGCATAACGTCCGAGTTCGTGAGAGCTGCCCTTGCCCAAAACTCCCCTCATCCTCGCCCATTCTCACGCTTCACCGAAGCCGTGACCCCGTCTTCACTGTCTTCTCAAAGTGCAGTGCCAAGCCCAACGACTCACGCCACACCGGTCCCGCCGCGTCCCCACATCGACGATCCACACAGAACATCAGGCAATCTTACCAACAAATCCCCTTCTTCCGAAACGACGGCGGCGGCAGCTCCGGCGACACTCCCAGCACCACGACCACCACCACCAGAAGATGAAAGCCACGGGAGTTCGTCATCGGAGGACACGCTGCTACACGACATCAGGTCGAGATACTCACCGGTCATCGAGCGACTGGTGCGTGAAGCAAGTCGCGCGGACGCGGATCCCGACGTCCAACATCAGCGGAAACTCCAACTAGAGTGGCTGCGCCCGGGATCATGGGCAAGCATATATGCAGAGCCCCAGGAAGCGATCGGAAAAAGCTCGACGCCCGCGGAAGAGGCCGATGTGTGGTATCTCAGCTGGGAAGCCCTTCGCGACTACGTCGACCGTGGCTTTGTCTTCGACCGTCCAGTCGTCGTCAAGCAAAGTTTCCGGGACAGTGGCATGTACAATCTGGAGGACTACATGGCCATGCTATGGCAGCGCTTCGCTGACCAAGATATCGACGTCCAGAACAGTCAGACGGGTCTCTGCTCCAGTATCTCCATGGCGGACTACTGCATGGCCGTGTCCAAGCTCGACTTGACGTCGAGCGACTCCGCGACGCGCGTGAGCAATGCGCTCAACTTGGGCAGGATGGCACGGGCCGATGAACCTCTCCTGACAAGGCTTCCTCGATTTCGACTGCTGTCGACCCTCGTGGATCGACTGAACGGGGTGGTGGGCAAGAACGAAGTTGCGAAACCCGCCGACATTGAGAGCAGCTTGCACTTCAATCTCCTTGGCTTCTCGGGCGCCTTCAGTAGATCACATGTCGACTACCTGGTCGGAACTTGGGTCAGGTGCCTCTTCGGCAGTAAAGTGTGGATGATTGCCTCCCAGATGCAAGAGGAGGACTGGCAGCGTTTCGCGCGCGACGGCTGCAACTGGTCGCCAGAGGGTAAAGGACGTATCCTGGTCTTGGAGCAGGACGATGTTCTCTTGATGCCGCCCGGTCTCCGCACCGTCCACGCCGTCCTCACTCCCGAGCCGAGTCTCGTGGAAGGCGGTATGCTGTGGGACGAGGTCACCATCCCACAAATTCTCGAGGGACTGTTATGGATCGGCAAGAACCAGGCGTGCACCAACGAGCCGGTGGCTTATCAGTTGCCCGGAATCATCGATGCCCTCGAGCAATGGGCCGAGCAGTTCTTGGACACCTCCTCGAGCGAAGACGAGCAAGATGTCGAGTATACGAGCGCGGTGAGGGACGGTATTCGCGCTTTGCGTGCGTTGGGCTGTGCGTGCGGGTTGCGATGCGAGAGCTCTGCAGATTGCATTTGCAAGCGTGAGCAGCGTCGGTGCACTTCTTGGTGTCTGCGGCACCCCCTCTTGCAGCCTCGCGAGATGCGCGACGACGAAAGCGCACCCCGGGGTGCACGTACAAAGAACAAGGACGGAGGGAGCTTTTACTGTATGCACGATTGAAGTGGTGCCTTGCGCTCGACTATGGTGTCGTTGCGGAATGTTATTGGTAATACTGGTTGTGCCCCTCACGGAGTAGAACTTGCGATGAGTAGGAGATGATTGTCACGAAAGGTGCACGGGTGGAAGAGAAGAGGTTCTCTGTCTGCGAATGAATAATTGCGACAGTCCTGGTTGGCAGTCACATACGACGCAGCCATTTGGCCCCATTTCAGCCTTTTGTCTCACGCTGACGCAGTCGTGGTGCTCCATTTGAGTCCCGAACACTCCCCTATTCCGTACTTTCCTGCGCGGAAGGGCACGCGCAAGTGCACAGGAACCTACTCGTAGCCCGACATGTTGCCCCCCCGGATATAGTGCGGAGTCGGGCGCAAGCGGCGCACGGATCATGTTTCCCGGGAAGATGATCCGTGCGTCCCGCTATCCGCGATGAGATAAACATGGGAGCCACTAAATCTTGGTGGATGGGCATCAAACATCGGTGACTTTCTCACTATCTTTCCATCAATATTAGCTAGGCATCACGATCGTGCTGGTCATGTCCTCCAGATCAGATCTGGTATGTTACAAAGCACTGCGGCAAAGCCCTCGAATTCTCCAAGCAATTGACACCCCTCTGCGAGCGGTCTTTGGCAATTTGGTGTCGGCGTGTAGCTATAGTATCCTCCAAGCTGGGATCTTTGCCCATAGTCACCGAAGCGGAACTTACAGCATGTATCACCACAGATACAGCGAGAAGCGACTTCTTCGCGCGGCAAGATCCCCGTCTCACACAGTGACAGCACCACCACGAGCAACATGCGAATGTAGGCCAATCGAATCACGCAGGCCGTACTCCTTGCACGAGGATGCACATCCAGCGGTTGCAACCTCGCAAACCTAACCGCTACCCGCCATAGTCCTGTCTGGACTGGAAGCGGTCTCGAAGCATAGCATGTTTCGTAACCCGTGCTTCGAGGGTTCTGGGCCAGTCCTGCGAGCTCTACGCCGCTAGTAGTGCGGCGCCAGATTCTCTGGTTGAAAGATCGTTTTCCAGCAGCGTGGAGTCTCTCTGCCGCTACGTCGTCAAAGTACATTCGCTACATGGTGATGGCGAGAAGACGCCCGTTGGAATGCGGGCTACATTGCTTACTTCCTTGTCAATCTGGGCGGCAGCGGCCATTTCAGGAGACGTCTGGCTCTCCACGACTCCGCGGACGGTCACCGGGATGCTCCTGGCTCGCCAGGCGGACCCCTCCCCGCATCGCTTGGTGTTCACTGACGAGACTACAGAAGTTGCCCGGTCCTTTACGCTGCGTTGCGGTACGCCTACTTGCACAATGAAAGATTTGCTCCAATCCAATGGAATGGGTGTCGATGTCAAGAAGATCGATCGCGATTTTTTCTGGGGTGAGCTTCGATTGCTCGGGAGGTGCTTCGGCATTTTTGTGATTGTCCATGTTTAATCACGGGGTCAGTCTTCTCGACTGAGGTTTCGTCGATGATTGAGATGAGTCCGATATTCGTCGCTCGCAGTTGACGACGATGACCAGTGACGATAGTCCACAGGGGTAGAGTATTTGGGCGAAGCGATTCCCGATCTTGCCATCGTAATTGACTCGCAAGGATGCCCTTGCGGCTTAGAACCCCCGGGATCTCTCGGCGTCGTCTTTACAAATCGCGCTGACGTGTGTAATGTTTCTTCTATTGACCACGTATCAGTGATGTGGAACTGCGAATTCGCGCCATGGCTTCTCATCTGGACAAGCGGCCGAGAAACGACTTCAATGCGATCTCGATGCAACGCTTAATCTGTCCTCGCTGCCTGCTCCCTCCCATCCACAGACACCGACAGTCGAGTCTTTGCACGGGTCATCTGAAAGCACCGATGTCCCCACACCAAGTCCCGGTACGGAATGTGGCTTAGGAGCAGAAAATAACAGCCTTGGCCGATCTCGACTTCGGGCATATCTGACTGTACCCCGGCGTCTGAATTTGACGGGTGTGCATTTTACGATGAATTTTGCTCTTGCGATTGCTCGGCATTGACATTCACATCGTTTGTGCGAATACCTCTGCTGCGGGGGCAGATGTTCAGGTAGGCTGTTTAGATGTCTTTCATTGCGTGCCACGGCAACCACGACACAAATCTTTCAGCAGCAGGTGCACAACGAGCGCTTCTGAAATCAGTGACAACCTAATGGACAATTCGTAACCCGAAACAACCTTAGTTCGCATAACCCGTTAAGATAATGCGAGCTGTGATTGGCCGCATCGAGCGGCTTGGCAAGCGCCTTCCTCCTGCATCATATTACTAAGAGTTATCAGATAATATTCTGCTGCGCACAGTCGTCCCGGGTCTGGCCAAGCGGGAATGACTAGCTGCTCGATCGTTGCAGCGAGAGTGCGACACTCTGTCGGATGAACGCTCTGTCATTGTTTCATTGGACCGTCTCGTCACCTGCACCACTTTGATCGCCTCAATACTATTCATCTGCCACTGACACGTAGCGGGCCGCGCCAACATCAGTGCTCGGTCGAGCATTCGACCTCACCAACTCTCACGCACTGCACCGCCAAACGTCGACCAAGATGCGCGGGGAATGTTCGCGGGCGGAGGAAGACGTCTTTGGCCCGGTGGTTCAAGGTTGCCTCGACAACTTCGACTTCACCCTGCTTTTTGAGGAGACCGTGTTGTTCGTGCTCCCCGCCTCGTGTCTGCTCCTGCTCGCGGTCGTATGGCGCATCCCTGTACTCATCCGCGCCGGCGTAGTGGTGAGAGCATCTTGGCTGGCATGGTGCAAGATGGTACATGGTCCGCGTGGAAGGCCGCACCTTCAAGCTCGCTAACGCCCGACAGGCCGTCTACCCTTTTCTATTCATTTCGCAGATCCTCTTCCTCGCCTTCACCGTGAGCGACGACTCGGCCAACACGCGAGCGACGATTGCTGTCAACGTCGTCATGCTGATCGCCGTCCTTGTTATGGGGCTTCTATCTCACCTAGAGAATCGCAGAAGCCTTCGTCCATCGTCCCTCCTGACACTGTATCTACTCGCCACCACCCCGATGAACGCGGCACGGTGCCGCACGCTCTGGAATATGCCAAGTTCGAACGCAGTCATAGCCACCTTTATTGTTTTTACTGCTCTAATAGCCGTCGCACTTGGGCTCGAGTTGGCCCCGAAAGATACGCTCGTACTGGGCGAGATCGAGCAACCGTCGTCAGAAGAGATGCGCGGTATAGTAGAACGCTCGCTGCTCACTTGGATCGTGCCAACTTTCGTGTATGGCTACCGAAACTTGTTCGATACGGAGACGCTGCAATCGATTGATCCTAAGTTGGCTAGGAAGAGAATGAAGGAAACAGTAATCACTGGTATGGAGGTCCCAACATCGAGTACCGAGTCACGGATTGATGATACATCCCCAGGCTAATCGGCCCACGCAGATCCTAGTGCTTCGCTGTTTCGAGGACTTTGGGAACTCCACTGGTATGATCTCCTGAGGCCGGTAATACCACGGCTCTGTTATACTGCTTTGACCTTGGCGCAACCATACCTTGTACAAACCTCCACCGAGTGGGTAGAAAACCAGAATAGCTTTGATCACTCACAGAAAGGTGGGGCACTTATTGGTGCATACGCCTTGGTATACATTGGCTTAGCGGTCAGTCATCCCCTTTGCTTCACCCGGCAGCCGTCTGTGATGCATGTGCCCAGTCGACTGACTGGACCGACGCTAATATCCCTAGGTCACGTATGCGCTTTATCGACAAGAAGCCGTACGAGCTGCCACTACCATGCGAGCTAGCCTTACCGACTTTATCTTCCGACGCCTTCCGCAGTTCGACTCAGGCGGTGGACTTGCTGGATCCGCTACAACCATGGTCAGCGCGGATATCGAGCGCATTCAATTCGGCGTTCGCGAGATTCACGAAATCTGGGCCTATTTGGTGTCTGCTGTTATAGCTCTATACCAGATTGAGCACAGCATTGGGGTTGCAATGCTGCCCGCGCTTGGCATCGCGATTGGTATGATTTTGAAGCCGCCACGCTCGGAAAGATTGGTTGCTGATCGGAAGTTCGGCAAACAGTCACTCTAATCATCACGATGCTTGTATCGCTTGGCGGCAGCAACGCTCAGAAAGTGTGGTTCCAAGCCACCCAAGACCGTGTTTCTCAGGTGGTCCAAATTTTGGCAGATTTCAAGAGCGTCAAAATGATGGGTTACACAGCCAGGCTTATCGAAAATCTCTGCGCCGCGAGGCTCCACGAAGTGAAGCGTTCTCAGAGATTTCGCGGGTTCCTGATTGTGGTCGCCACTTTAGCACAATCCGTCACTGCGCTGGTCCCAGCTTTTGGCTTCGGGACTTACGTGCTATTGCACAGGTCCGGCGATGGCCCAGTCTTGAGCGCCGGTGCTGCTTTTGGGACTCTGACATTCTTCAGTATCCTTAGCTCGAGTATAGGGGGCATGCTCCAAGCAGTGTTTGAGGTAGTGACCGCCGTAGGTTGCATTTCGCGCATTGAAAGCCTGTGCAAGAAGCACTACAGATCAGACCCTCGTCGAGTAACGAACAGTCCGCACTCAAGCGTGGCCCTGAACCACGCCAGCGCCAAGTACAACGAAACCGGCGATGATATCATCCACGACGTTAGCTTCAACGTCAAACCTGGCACGATCATGCGCCTTGTTGGCCCGACGGCATCTGGGAAATCCACACTGTTGAAAATGTTGCTGGGCGAGGTGCGTTTCTGTACGGGAGAGGTAGTTGTGGGACACAGGGTGATCGGGTACTGCGATCAGGATCCGTGGCTGGACAATGTCAGCATCCGGGAAAATATCATTGGACCTGCAATCTTCGTCCCGGGACGTTACTTGGAGGTGATTCGCATATGTGCGCTGGAGACTGACCTGGGTAATATTCCGCAGGGAGATGCTTCAATCTGCTTTGGGCACGGTGCCAATTTAAGCGGAGGGCAGAAGGCTCGCATTGTTCGTCATGATATGGACGGATTCGATAGAGAAGGTTGCTAACAATCTGCAGGCCTTGGCTCGTGCATTATACGCATGCTCCCCGATCATGGTTTTGGACGATTGTCTCGGCGGGTTGGATGCCAACACGGAGCATTTTATACTGGAGAATCTCGTCGGCGTGCACGGGTTTCTTCGAGAGCATTCAATCACTACGTTCTTGGTCTCGAGTTCACGTGAGTCCAGCCGGGTTGGTCGCTGATGTCTCGTAGCCACTAATATGGGTCTAGGAAAACCCTTGCCTCCGGGTATCGCAAGACTTTCGCTGGGAGCAGACGGGTTTTCAATAGAAGAGACCGCAGATAGTCCGCCCTCCGAATCGCCATCGCTCGAAGATTCCATTGAAATGGACAATAAGAGATTGAGTGACGACGATGCAAGCACAAGACCTCCGCTGGCTTTAGAAGCAAGCGGCGAACCCGGCGAAAAATACAAAAGGGGAAGAGAAGGTGCTCTCTACTCCATGTTCATCAAAGTCGGTGGGCCATGGAGTTTGTTGGTGTTCACATTCCTGACAATCATATTTGTGGTCGGAGTCACTTACCCTCGTAAGTTCGTCGTGCATTCGAACCGATTTCGTCCTTCAGAGAAGCTAACAGACAGTGACACGGCAGAGATCTATCTGGATTCCTGGGTCTCAAAAAGTGCCGCACAGCAGCACAAAACCATTGGCGCATTTTTGGGTGTCTTCTTCGGTTTGAGTGCTTCATCGATGCTGGCGTTTGCAATAGCCTGCACACAGTTCACACTCGCCATCGCTCCACGCATCTCCATCGTGTTTCATGCCAAGTTGGCAAAGGCACTTCTTTGGTGAGTCATATCGCGTTGATCGTGTCTCATCATCTTGCGTTATGGTTGGGGTCATTGCTAACGCGACCTTTTGCGATACTAGCGCTCCTCTTTCGTTCTTCTCGAAAACGGACGGAGGTTCAGTCACTAACAGGTATACCTCCTATACATCGTCGGGCTCCAAGCCGCTAGAATATGATGGCTGATGTATTCTTCTAACAGATTCGCCCAGGATCTTGCTATTATAGATCAAGAAGTTCCCCTAGCCTTGATTGGTACGGTCCTCACTATTCTACAGCTACTTGGCCAGTGCGTTACACTGATTATCGGATCGCACTACGCTGGTTTCGCTATACCGGGCATGCTAATAATGGTATACTGGGTCCAATCTATGTACCTACCGACGTCCTACCAGTTACGTTTGCTGGACCTGGAGGCCAAAGCTCCGATCGTATCACTGTTCGTTCGATCTATTGAAGGCCTAGCGACCATACGGGCCTTCGGGTGGATGGAACCGATACAGCGCCAATCAAGGGTGTATATTGCCGCGTCCCAGACGCCGTTCTATCTCCTAGCAACTGCGCAAAATATGCTTAGTCTTGTTCTCGATTTTTTGACCGCACTGCTGGCAATAGTCGTCATTTCCATCGCAGTTGGAACGAAGGGGGGAGGAATCGGATTGTCCCTGTTCAGTGTAGTTCAGCTGGGCACCTCTACTAAACTTTTGATCGCCCAATGGACGGAGCTAGAGACGTCTCTAGGTGCTATGAAAAGGATCGACGACTTCTCTAAATCGACCCCCCAGGAGAGTTCGCCCAGCAGAAGCTCGGCGCCGCCTGCAGACTGGCCTAGTAAAGGCGAGATCGAATTCCGCGATGTTTCGCTAGGCTACAGGTGAGTAACTGGACAGGATTTCACATGCTAGGGGCAAGGGGCGGAGCTAATCAATTCTAATAGTAGCGATGGGCCTGTCGTTATATCTAATCTGTCACTTAAAATCGAACCAGGGTGGAAGATTGGGGTCTGCGGGCGCACGGGAAGGTAAGAAATCGAGTCTCACTGCCGCTGCGTGTTTGAACCGAGATATTGACTACATTGCCACAGCGGAAAGAGCACCTTTATTTCCTCCATCTTAGGCCTCGTCCAAGTGCAGCAGGGTTCTATCCTCGTCGACGATATAGACATCTCTCGCCTGGAGCCAGACCTGCTGCGTGCGAGCATTACAGTGGCTCCGCAGAGCGCCGTAATGTTCCGGGCCAACGTGCGGAGCAATCTTAGCCAAAATGCAAGAAAGACTCCTAGCGATGCAGAAATGATTGAGCTCTTACAAAAGTGCGGAATATACGACAAGTTTTCAGAGCGAGACGGGCTCGATACACTTATTACAGAGGATCTTCTCTCCTATGGCGAGCAGCAGGTGTTTTCGATCGTACGAGCAGTCCTTCACAAGAGCCGTTTAGTGCTGCTTGATGAGCCTACGAGCAGGTAAGCACGATTTGCTTTGGGTATTCGGCTGAAAATATCGTTACGTGTTTTGTAAAAAACAATGCTGACCACACGCGTGCAATAGAGTCGATAGTAGTGTCCAGGAAACTATCGACGGTGCCGTTATGAATGGCTTCGAGGGTTCGACACTGATCTACATCGCCCATCGTCTGGAGATCCTCTCAAAATTTGACCGGGTTATTGTTATGGACCAAGGCCGGATTGTTGAATTCGGAGAACCGCAGACGCTGCTGCAGTCGCCCGACTCGCTCTTCGCGAGTACGTACAGTAGGGCAACTTCGCAAGTAAGCAGCCGCGATACATTGTAACAAGATTGGAGCCGACGAAGTTCTGATTACGTCTCCTCTGGCTTGAGACCACCATGAACAAGCATTGAAGAGCTCCGTGATCGGTTGTGATGTTGAGCCAGTTCCACAGCACGCTCTATAACGACTGTTACAAGTGCTGAAGATCTCATACTTATCTAGAACATACAGAGAGGAATTGCGTGACCGACAGCGGGTTTTCTGACCTCTCGAGAGGTTTGTGCATGGTTGGGAGCAATTATTATTGAAAGTCACAAGCGTTCGAAAAAGCGTTTGAATTATTGCGTCACTTGTTCTTGAATACACCATAGAATCAGACATCTTGAAGCTGCACCACACGATCTCCCAACTAAGCCAAAGTAATCGGGCGAAGCACATGAAACGTTGGGACAAGGCGATGCAGTCATGTCTCCCGTACGCTATTATGAACAAGTTCTGAGAGCAATTGATCCATGATGTGAAAGTCATTTTCATCGCACGATCAGGCTATCATCTTGCCAAACATTTGGAAACTCGTCATTTCACTGTTACCAATCTTACGACGTTGAGAAATCAGTCCACATTTCCCAAGCAGAAGTCGGAACAGAGCTTTGCCTGCTTACGAGTATGCCGGCGGTAGGCGGCTGCTATGGCTTTACGCAATGCCAGTGTTTAAGCAGAGGGGTCGAAGAATGTTCGGCGTCACAGTATCGACAAGTACAACCTTTCCGGGGTTTTTGGAAAATTTGGTGATGAAAAGGTTGATTGAGCTGTCTGTCTCACTGCTGGGTGCTTTATATCTTCGAGTGCGTCTATGGTGGTCTGGACCCCCTTTCCGGCAATCTTCAACAACCCCCCTTTGT